AAAACCCCTCTTCCACCATGTCCTGCCCTCCCGCCCCATCTCTCCCCTGCCCTGCCCCGCGTGCTGTCCCGTCCCTCCCCTGCCCTGCCCCGCGTGCTGTCCCGTCCCTCCCCTGCCCTGCCCCGTGTGCTGTCTGGCAGTGGGCTCGGGCTGGCTGAGCTAACCCTGCTCTCTCCCCACAGGCCTCCTCGCTGGGGGGGCAGCGTCCTCGCGTGGCCTCCTGCCTTGCTCACGGCCTGTGCCCTGGGGAGCCTGGCCTGCAGACGACCGCAGGTACCTTCCTCACCCCTGCGTCCTGCCCGGTTGGCCAGGCCCTTCCTGGCTGTGGGAGACCGTCCTCGCTGGCCCTCGCTGAGCTGGTGCGTGGCCGGCTCCTGAGTCAGGCTCTGCTCTCTGGCAGCCCCAGCCCCCCGAGGACCTGAGCGTACGCTGGCACCGGGACTGCGTGCCGGTCTGCTCGCCGGAGCTCTGGGCAGGGCCAGGGCGGAGTGCCCTGCACCCCTCTGAGCTGGACACTCTCCCTGGAGCTGAGGTCCAGGCCCCTCCTGCTGGCCCCTGCTCTGGGCCCTGGTGGAGGAGTTGCTGTGGGAGGGCTGGGTTTCCGCCATGGCCGCCCCGTGCTGGGCCACCACTGCCAGGTATGGCGCTGTCCCCCCAGCCCAGAGAAGGCAGCGTCACCCGTCTCCCCTGGGGACACCAGAGCTGAGGGCATGCCCCGCGGCCTGCCATGCCGGGCCGTGTGCACTGACGGCTGGGGGCCGAGACTGGTGCACCTGCCTGACCGCCACACTGGCCGTGCACTGCCCTCCTGGAGGCCAGCACCCAGGCTGGCCCTCCCTGTCCTGGACGGGCCGGGCTCTTCCGTTGCCCATTTTGGACTTCGACGCGTCGCAGACTCACATCAGGAGAGATGGCAGTGAGCACGCTCTGGTCCTCTGGGCAAGCCCAGACCTGGTTGCCGTCACCACCCAAGGCCGCGCGCGAGGTGCACCCTGACAGGACTGTCGGCCCTGTGGGCAGTGCAGGCAGCGGTGCCTGTCAGGCCCTTGGTCGGCATCTTCCCTGCGGAGACTGGGACAGCGGGGCTGGCTGAGGCGGTCCCTGCAGCCGTGGGCTCTGGCCCTGCCTCGCACCCAGCCCCCTCAGGCTGCTGTGTGCCCAGAAAGACCAGGGGTCCCCAGGAAGAAGCAGGCCCTGGGTCTGCCGGACGGCCCCTCTGTCCACGTCCCAGTGGTCATGGGCGTCCTGCTGGGTCCCACATGCGAGGCAACCTGCCGAGTGACCCGTGGGCCGCAGTGCGGCCACGTGTTGAGGCGCGGTTCTGGACCCCTCAGCCTGGTGTGACGGGTTGGCTGGCGAGGCCCTGACCAGCCTGTCCCTCCACAGCGGTGCCCATGGGCTCTGCCGACCGCCAGCTCAGCCTGGCAGAGATCCTGTCCCAGAACTATGGTCTCCAGGAGCGGTGCGAGGGGGCCTCGCGGTGCCCAGGGAAGCCCGAGGAGGAGCTGGAGAAGGACTTCATCGCCCAGGTACTGCTAGCCCGCCCGCCCGCGAGGCTGCACCCCGGTAGCCGCGAGTCGCCCACAGGCTCTGATTGGCATTGGCGGGTGCTGCCCGCATGTCTGTCAGAAATACCAGGCCAGGTGCCGAGAGCCGGGGAGGGTCAGGGAGGGCCAGGCCGGGCGCTGAGAGCCGTAGAGGGCCAGGTAGGGGCGCTGAGGGCCAGGGAGGGCCAGGCCGGACGCTGAGAGCTGAGAGCCAGGGAGACCAGGCTGGACGCCAAAGCCAAGAGCCAGGGAGGGCCAGGCCAGGCGCTGATAGCCGATAGCCAGGGAGGCCAGGCCGGGCACTGCCCTGGGGGCTCTGGACATTGAACCAGCCACTGTCAGACTTCCTGGTCTCGGAACTCCTGTTGCGCTCTAGAATCACTAAGGATCTCGAGTGTTCTGTGTGCTGTTACCTTTTACAAAAGCTGGGCATCTTTTGGGGGCTGGCAGGTGGCATGGTTGGGTCACCAGACTCCGTGTGGCCCACTGCAGTTCTAGTCCTGGACCTGGCAGCGTGCTTTCTCCCTCCCTCCCTGCTGAGTGCATGTGTCCTATAGCAAATTAAAAATAGCAGTAAGAAATGAAAATAAGTAATTCTTTTAAAAATACATTTCAAAAGCTTAAAACGTTTCCTATTTAATTCTAAAAAGTACGTGTTAGTGGAAGCAGCGTGTGTCTATGAAAACAAAGCGACGCTGTCTTCCAGCATGAGTCAGGGCAGTGCAGGACTTGTGTCCGAGCCTGGGAGGTGGCACGGGTGAGATCTGTGGGCAGCGGGGAAATGTCTCTCACAGAGGTCCCTGTGCATCAGCAGCCCTGTAGGTCATCATGGGTGTCCTCTGGGGCCACGCGGGTGCTGGAGGAGCTCCCGGCACCCACGTGGCCTTGGCCCACATGGTGTCTAGACAGGCCCAGCGACGGGGACTCTCCAGGCACAACTGGGAGCCAGCCTCGCTGGCCGCCAGAGTAGGGCTGGAGGTTCTTTCCTCCCCTGCCGGAGGCTGGAGTCCGGCACCACGCCCCGGCGGTGGCCTCTGCGAGGGCTCTCTGTGGCCATCCCTGAGAGGACGTCCTTGCTGTGGGCCTCAGGAGCTCGCGGGCTAGGCTGCCTCCTCTAGGCCTCTCCGGGCACCCTCACACAGGTCCGGTGCCCCAGCCCCTGTCGTCCCCAGGCTCATGAGGACTGGGATCTGTCGCATCTGTGCTGTCAGATTCAAGTGCCCAGGCGCCCTGGCTGCAGCGGGGTCGCGGCATTGCAGCGATCTGGGCAGCCCGGCTGCTGTCAAGACACTGGCCACCCTGTGCCTGTCGGGCAGCCGGCACGCCCCGCCTTCTCCAGGGAAGAGGGAGAGGGCGGCCGCTCGCTATGCTGCCCCTTCCCGTGGGCACACGCAGGTGTGCCCCGCGCTGTCCGCACCGGGGAGCAGGTGTGCACGCTCAGGTGCGCCCCGCGCTGTCCGCACCGGGGAGCAGGTGTGCACGCTCAGGTGCGCCCCGCGCTGTCTGCACCGGGGAGCAGGTGTGCTGTGTGAGGTCAGGTGCGGGGGTACCCGCTTCGCCAGGACGTCCCTGGTGGGACAAGCTCAGTGACAGCTCGTGTGCCAGACTGGCCTTGACCTAGTGGGCATGGCCTCTGCACGTCGGCCCGTGTCGGCGCAGCTGCTGCACCCCGGGGGACCAGAGGTCTCCCCCACTGCAACACCGTCCTCACGACCGTGGCAGGAGCTGCGTGTGGCCATGGGCCCGTGGGTCTTGGGTGTGCGGGAGGTGGGGCACCCCCTGAGGAAGGGCCAGGGTCTCCCAGGAGTGTCCAGACAGGGGCTGCAGTGGGAGGGCTGACACCCTAGGAGAGCGAGAGACAGTCCTGGAAGTCGGAGGGGCTGGGCGGGGTGCTGGCGTCGGGTGGAGATGGATGGAGAGGGGGCGGGTGGCCTGTCCTCCCTGCCCTGGCCGTCACGGCCCTGACCCAGGCTGGGGAGCCCGGGCGCTGTGGTGCTCTCTCCCGACTGGTGGGGACGTGGCGCCCGCTCTCGCCAACCCAGGGTAGGCTGGCAGCTTCTCCGTCTGCGTCCTCTGTGGGCTGCCGCAGAGGAGTTGTCCTCGTCCCCTGGAATGGGCTCTGCCAGTCTTCGGGCGCAGGTTCTGGCGTGGGCCAGGCCGGTGGGTGCTGCTGGAACCGTCCTGCCATGGTAGCCAGTGGTGCTCAGGTGGGGGACAGGACCCCCTGACAGCCCCGCCCCCCCCAGGGCAGCGACATGCCCCTGGACGAGCTGCTCGCGCTCTATGGCTACGAGGCGTCAGACCCCATCTCGGAGCGGGACAGCGAGGGCGAAGTGGCTGCCGACCTCCCAGACATGACCCTGGACAAGGCGCCCCCCGGTCCCCGCCCCAGCGCGAGGCAGAGGCTTACTAAGTGGGGAGGGGCTCGCGGGCTGCCTCGCGGGCCAGGCTGGGACAAGGGCCCCAGCCACGGGGTGCTCTCCTGTGCTGGGAGGCGGACACCCGCGTCTGCAGGGTCCACAGGGCCCCGGGCGGCCCAGGCAGTACAGAGCCACGAGCTCTGCTGTCCCCGCCTTCCGGTTAGGAGTGGTCCCCGTTGTCGTCAGAGACGGTGAGAATAAAACTCCAAATGTTTCTCCTTTCTCGTTAAAAGGAACAAATAGCGAAGGATTTGCTTTCAGGGGAAGAAGAGGAAGAGACACAGTCGTCCGCAGATGACCTCACGCCGTCCGTGACCTCCCACGAGGCCTCCGACCTTTTCCCTAGCCAGGGCAGAGGTAGGTGACCCTGTCCCCTCCCCGTCAGCCAGGCCCTGGCAGGCAGACACGGGCCGTGGGCTGGTGCTTTAAGACCCAGAGTGTGGCTTCAGCGGGTGGATACCTCGCTTTCCGTGGCAGGTGCAGGGCCCGCTGCCGTGGGTGCTGGGGCGTGGAGTTCGGCGGGAGAGCCGGGAGAGGGCCTGTGTAGGCGGCATCCCCATGCTCCACATACCTGCCGTCTGCTCGGGGCCGTGGCGTGGGGGGGCCATGGGGAGGGTCCAGCCGGGCCCTGCACCACCTGTGCCGCCAACCTCCCTCCCTCTTCCCAAAGCCCGTTTCCTGGCCGATGACAACAGAGAGCCGGGCTCGTCTGCCCCCTCCGACACGGAGGACTCCCTTCCTGCCAACAAGTGTAAGAAGGTGTGTGTTCCCGCCCCGGCCTGGGCACCCAGGGCTGTGGGTCTCATGAGCCCCCGGGGAGGCCAACACCCCTGAGGTGGACTGGGGTGTGTGGAAGGAGCCGGAGCTGTCCTCTGCCTGCCAAGGGGACCCCGACATCCTGTCTGGGCTACACGTACACAGCTGCGCACCATGCCCATGCGTGTCCTAGCAGAGCTGGGGTGGGCGGCCTGCCCGGTGGCAGGTGCGTCCATGGGGCCAACCCCAGCCTTGGCTTTGCCTTTGCAGGAGATCATGGTTGGGCCTCAGTTCCAAGCCGACCTCAGCACCCTGCACTGCAGCCGGCATAGTGAGAAGAGTAAGTGGGCCAGCGAGGGCCAGGTCGCCACGAGGGCTGCCGTGGCCACACGGTGGTGGGCAGACTCTCTGTTGTCGGCATGCTTGTGGTGCCGTCCCTGCCCCCGTCCATCCTTGGCTCACGCCGTGGGGCAGCCCCACCTCACCCCGCCATCCATGCCTGGGCGCACCCTTGCCCACTGGGCAGCCGTTGTAGCGTGAGTTCCCTGTGACCGCTCTGTCCCCAGCCCTTCCGTGTCCCTCTGCAGGGTTCGCAGCCCTGGCTGTGACTGCCCGCAGAGTTGAGTGCTGACCGCCTGTTGTCCTGGGGACATGACGTCTCTGCGGATGTGCTGGTGCTTCTGGCTAGGCAGCTTTTCTGAGGTGACCCAGCAGCCGCGAGGTGACCCTGGCGGGAACACGGGCCTCAGAGGACAGGTGGCCTGGGTAGGCACCAGCACAGGCCAGGCGGCCTGGCTCTGCCACAGGGCCCATCCCCATCGGCACTGGCCACTCTTCCTGTTTCTGTAGCCCCTCTGGTGGGCGCGGACGGTCCTAGCCAGCAGGGTGTCCTCTTCCTGAGGGTTCTCGAGGCTCCTCCCGTTTGAGTGTGGCTGTGTCTGTCTGGCCTGCGGGTGCCCTTCCGTGTTCTGGAAACCCACTGTCCCTTGGCCGTGTGTCCCGCAGGGTTTCCTCAGTCGGCGGGCCCGCTGACTCTGGTGGAAGCCTTTGTTTTAGTGAAGTCCCTGTGTGCCTGCCAGGACACCGTGCTCAGTTGTTTAAGGAGTCTTTGCATACCCCTTCTGGCTCCTAGAAACTTTACTTTGTCTTTCACATTTCAGGCTATGACCCAGCTTTTAAACCTTTTTTCTTTAATCACCAGAGGGCTTGTGTTATCCCCAGAGACAGGGAGGAAGCACAAGGTCTGAATTGCTGTGGCCGGGATTCAAACCGCAGTTGGCCCTCTGGGTCGCATCCCTTAACCGTGAGGGTACGAGGCTGACCCTGGCAGTTTTTGTCATGACTGTTGATTTTTTTTTTAAAGAGGTTTTTGTCAGGACCAGCAGGGAGTGTAGTGGTTATGATGCGGGACTCACACGCAGTCGACTACAGTTCGAGTCCTGGACCTGGAGGCTTAAAACTCACACTGGGAGCATGTGCCTGCATGCCCAGGATCCTGAGAGGAGGATGGAGGAGAAGCCCTAGGGGGTGATTTTTCGCCTTCTCTCTGTCTGTCTGGTGAATACACACACCCTATAGCAAAAATCTCGCTTAAAAAAGAAAAGGGAGAGGTTTTTGCCACAGGGAGGCCGGCCACACTGCAGCCCTTTTGTACTCTCCTGTTGGGATTTTGGGCATGCACCGGGACCTGGCGTGAGTCTCAAGCAACCAGATCTGGGACTTGAACGATGGTCAGCCGTGGAGGGGTCCAGCGCCTTAACCACCACACACCTGCTGGCCCGGCGATTTTGTTTCCTCAGATGTTTTTCTCTGTATGCACTGACCGTCTCTCTTTCATTCCATTAATGCGCGGTAATTACATTTGCGTGTCCGGTGCAAACTCTACGGGGACATGAAGTATCACCTGTGTGTGTCACACACGGGGAACACTTACTTGTGGACTCTGCGTTTGTAAATCTGCCTACTTGCTAATAATGTCTGCGTGTAACTCAGAATCAGTGCTTGCTGATCCCGAGGTGCTGGGTCCCACATGGCCGACCATGGTTTGAGTCCTAGACCCAGCGGCTTGAGAGTTACTCTAGCGGGGGGGGGGGGTGTGCGCGTGTGTGCGTGCGCGTGTGTGCACACGTGTGTGCGCGCCTGGGATCCTGAGAGTGGGGAAAAGGGGTTGTGTGCACACATCCTATTGCAGAAACCCGAGGGGGACAGTATATTCTTGGATTTTAACACACGTGCACAGGAGGGCAGGAGGGTGTGTCACCGTGTACATGTCCCCAGCTTAGCTGGGCAAGGCTCCACCTTTTCTTATTTATTTATTTTATTTTTAATGCCTTTTTTTCTGAAACGTTTTTTTAAAATTAATTAATTTACATTCATTCCCTAAGCATCATCACAGAAATACAAAATGTAATTTCCCATCCATGATATACTGCATCGTGGCTTAATCATGCTTGTCATCGGCAATCGTTTTCCATTTTCAGATCTATAAGTATATATAATATATGTATTTTTTACCCTGTGTCTGCCCTCTGCCCTTCCTCTCCCTCTGCTCACACTGTCTCTGCTGTCTGCAGCTGTCTTCCACTCCTTTGCCCCCACATTTTATTGATCACACAATTTCTTAAGTAATCTAACTACTTTATTTTTTTTTTACCTTTTTTTTTTTTTTGGACATGTTTTTGCTATAGGGCATGTGCGCTCGCCAGAAAGACAGAGAGACAGAGAGACAGAAAGCGAGAAATCACCCCAAGAGGGGATGGTCACGCTGCAATCTCTTCTCCTCCATTGTCCTCTCAGGATCTTGGTCACGCACACGCACACGTGTCTGGCATGAGTTTAAGCCACTGGGTCTGGGACTTGAACCGTGGTCGACTACATGGGAGTCCAGTGACATAGCCATTATGCCAACTGCTGGCCCTGATAATCAAACAACTTTTTTTTTTTTTTTATCCGCTAGTTAATT